CTCATCCCATGCCCTGCCACCCATTATGGATTAGCATCCACTTATCAGAAAACATTCGACCTTTGGTTTTTTGGGATTGGCTTACTTTACTTAGCATGATATTCTTAACTTCATCCATTTACTGCAAATGCCATAATTTTATTCTTCTATTGCTAAAAAATATTTCATTATATATACATATATCAATCACAGTGTCTTCATCCATTCATCTCTTGAAAGGCATCTAGGTTGGTTCCACAGTTTGACTATTTTGAATTGTTCTGCTATAAACATTGATGGGGGAGTGTCATTACAGTACACTGTTTTTAAGTCCTCTGGGTATAGACCAAAGAGTGGGATAGCTGGGTCAAATTGTGGTTCTGGTCCAAGTTTTCTAAGGAATCTCCATATTGCTTTCCATATTGGCTGCACCAATTTGCAGTCCCACCGGCAATGTATATAAATTCAATTTCTTGGAATTTCGTTTTCTAGTAGCTCTAACAGACTTCTAGCTTCATAACATAATTAAACTTAATCATAACTTGATAGTGATACTTAGTATATAAAACACTATCTCCAAATTTGGTTTGGTTGAAGTGTTCTTAGATGATTCATTAGTCCTTAATGTTTTGTGTGTGTGTGTGGGGGGGTATCGGGAATTGAATCCAGGGGCACTGAGCTACATCCCAGTTCTTTTTATTTTTTTTTCAAATAGGGTCTTGCTAATTTGCTGAAGTTCTCACTAAATTGCTGAGATTGGCCTCAAATTTGTGATCTCTGGGATTACAGGTGCTTGCCACTGCATCCAGCTACTCCTTTATCTTTTTTTGGGTTCATCTCTGAGAATCTGATGAAAGATATGGAGTTCTCCTTCCCCCATGTTCTGCCCTCCCATAGAAATATGTGCATATACACAATTTTTAAAAGTTCATGGTTACACCGAAACAAACCCATGGAACTATGGTTAGAAATAACTACCATTGATGAATATTCCTAATTCTTTAAACCAACCTTTATAGAAACTTGCAAGTGTAATCATTTTTATTTAAAAACATGGCTCATCTATGCCTATTAAACCATATTCTAAATGTCATTTTACAGCTTTTTGATGACTGTGAATCATTACCAGCAATCACTGCAATGTGGCTAATTCAAGAAATAAAGAAATAGGGCAATGTCATTTAGGAGTTCTGTTAAAGTTACAGGCCTTGATTTATAAGGATAATTTTATACTTACTGATCCTGTAACCTTGGCTGTCTCCTCTCATGCATGTGTGTGTCAGTTCTTACAGACCTTTCTTCTAATTCTGTTCCAGTAATAAAGCAGAAAAACCAGCTTGTTAAGTAAAATTGTATCCCTATTGCTGTGAGCCAAGGGGCTCAGGATTGCCTAAGGGCAGTGGTGCTGTATATAAACAGCTGGCAGTCTTCATTGTGCACTTACTCCACGGAGTAAGCAGTGTTCTGCCTGTTGGGCTGCCAAGAGGGAGAGATTATCTGTAGAAAGTTTTTCTAGGAAAAAGTTAGGGCCATCTACTTTAGTTAATAATTAAACCATGCAAAAGAAAACTCACCTTTCTGTTATTCCTTTCTATTGTAATCTTGTTAATGAATTATATAAAATAGACCTAATTTACACTAAATATGAATATATACTTATGAATATATATTTATGTTTAAAATCACAATTATTTTGGTAGTAATTTTGTTGTAAGAGGAAGGCATTTTTTGCTCCTTCAGTTTTAGAAGAAATCCTTATATCCTGACAGGACTCAACAAAGGTTACAAAATATCTAGTGCAGAACTGAATTATGGAGGCATTGCATCTTATACAATAAACTGCTAGAATTAACTCCTCTAGGGCTCAAATCCAAGAATTTTGTGCCCTTGTGAATTACTTCTTTGATCCTGGGGCAGTAGATGCCAAGGGCCTAAGAACAGAATTACTGAAGATATTTTTCTTATTTGTTTTTTGCCAATATGTATGAACAATGTGAATTCACTGTATTTTATAAACCAAATGAATTTCAACAGGAAGCAAAACTACCAAGTGAATTTCAACAGGAAGTAAGTATAAAAGAGAGCTCATGTTAAAAATAAATAAATAATAAAAAATTATGGCATTAAGAGATAGTGCATAAATAATTTCCGTTAGTTGCAGTAACAAAAGTCTTTTTCATGGACTTGATATCAGAACCCATCATTGCTAATACTCTGGGGAAAAAAGTCAACTTAAATATTAAGAGCTTATGAGATCATTAAAGTATCTCTCTAATTCTACACTTAAGTATATATAAACAGGCCAGTATTTGCTGGCATCACATTTTCAATTCCATTTGTCACTGGCCATTAGGTTAGTCTAAATATTCCACACAGATTCCAACTCTGGGCAGAGAGTAACCAAGGCATTCAAGACTCTCAGGTAAAATGAAAATGTCAGAAATAATTCTCTCACTGGAAAAGTACTATTCTTATTACAGACATTGAAAGAAAAGGGCTGTTTATTAATGCCAAGACTTTCCTCTCTATATTCACATCTATTGTCAAGTTACATAACTCTCTTGGTGCCTCAGTTTTGTCAAATTAAAAATGGAGATGATGGGCTGGAGTTGTAGCTCAGTAGTAGTGGTTGAATGTCCGTAAGTGCAAGCCCCAGTATCAAAAAAAAAAAAAAAATGGAAATAGGAAAAAATATTAGAACTGTATAAGAATTTTAAAAACAACAACAACAGTGTTTGGAATATAGAAAACACTAAGTAAACATTTACATATTATTTTATTATCAGTACTTAAATAGCAAATTAGGAAAATAATATATCAAAAAAATTTTCTAAAACTTAAAAATAAATAAAAATTTCTATATATTAAAAACCTATTTAAAAAGAATAGAAGATCCAACCCACAATGGAACCAAAAAAGATAAGACTATGTGCAGTACCTATATAAAGAAAAATTTTGATTTTTTTAAAGATTTAGACAAAAATATTGTGCCTATATATGAATATATAACAATGAATCCCACCTTTATGTACAACTGTAATGCACCAATGTTAAAAAATGGAAGAAAAAAAAAGATTTAAAGACATTCTACTTTTTTTTTTTTTTTTGCAATGCTGGGGATTAAACCCAGGCCTTGCACATGCTAGGCATGCCTTGCTCTGAGCTACATTCTCAGTCCTAACATCCACATTATTTGTATCAAAGTTAAAATATAACAAAGATTTCAATTTTTCCTAAGTTAATCTATGAATTTAATGAAAATATCAAAATAACATTTTGGGGAACTCAACAAAATGATATTTAACATTCATCTAGAAGAACAGAATTTTTTTTTTTTTAAATATTAAGGATTACTACCACTACGTATTAAAACATATCATGAAGGCTGGAGATATAGCTCAATGGTTGACCATTTGCCTAGCACGTGCAAAGCCTTGGATTTGGGGTTCAATCTCCAGCAACACAAAAAAAGTAAAGCAAAACAAAACAACAAAAAACATACAATATGTTGAAATAGGGAAAAAGAAACACAAACTACACGTCAATTTAGACAAATCCAGAAATAGATTTATTCTATGATAAAGATGGTATTTCAGATTAGTTGAGGAAAGAGAGATTACCCAATAAAATGTGGTACAACATCTGCCTAGAAAGGAATAAAGTTGGATCTGTGTTAAATTCTGCATGAGTGAGGGTTCTGTGCAGGAAATAAACCCCTCTAGATACTTCAAGTAGAAAGGGATTTAATAGAATTGGGTTTTTACTAAATTGCTAAAAAAGTTGCAGGAGCAGAAACTGGAGACTCAAGGTCATACTACCATCTGTGACTCAGAAAGCTAATGCTGCTGCCACCACCAACAGCATTACCTCTTACCTAGGAAGCAGGTGACAAGACACTAACCTGGAATCTGGTTGCTACAAACAACTGTCTACACTTGCACAGCCACAGAAGAAGATGGCCTCTACCTCCTTTCTATCTTCCAAATCTTGACCAAATGTATATTATTGATAGAATCTAAACTTTTCAGAACCTACAAGTCTGCAAAGCTTCACATTGGTGGGAGGTATGGGACCTAATACCAAATGCCAAGAGACAATACCTAACATATATTCTTATATTAAAATAAATTTCAGATAGATGAAAATTATTTATAAAAAAACATGAATCTATCAAAATGTTCTAGAAGTAACCATGAGTGAGTTTATTATCTTAGAATAAGAATATGAAATTCTGAAACCAAAAAGGAAAACAAATGGATCTATCTGCATAAAAATGAAAAAATAGGGCTATGGGTGTAGCAGTGATAAAACACTTGCTTAGCATGTGTGAGGTCCTGGGTTCAAAACTCAGCAACACACACACACACACACACACACACACACAGAGTAATGCTTCGTTTAAAAGCTTTATTTCTAAGAGCAAAACTCTGAACATGAGTACTACATAAAATTATGGTCCATCAAATGACAGAACACTCTTAGGTCAAGTAAAAGGAGATATTTAAAATGAAGACGTTACCTTTGAATAACACAAACACATTTGCAAACATTCTTATGTGATGTAACCTTATGCAGTTATCACATCGTTTTTTAAAAAGGTCATTAGGAGTTATCTTGGTAGGATTTTATGGTACCTTCTTTTTCTTTTTGTAATTGTAATTTAGAATTTTTAAACTTTCCAACTTTCCCCTTCTTAGGAAAAAAACCCATAATTTTTGTAAATATAAATATAAATATTTTATTTTCTCTCAGAATATTCATGATTATTTTTGGTTTTCTAGTTTAAACATACATCATTTAAAAATTACATAAAATTGTGTTTTTTAGAAGTATCTAGCAAGACAGTACACTATGAAATCACTCAGTGACTCAATTATTTTACAAATAAAACTGTGAATTTCAGTTGAAAGAAAAACTACATTAATAGGAAATAATTCTATCATACATACACATTTACAGTTTTTACTTTTATATCTTCATTTAAAAATCATTTTTCCAAAAAAAAAAACTATACTTCAGCATAAGATAGATAAGTATTTAATACATGATTAATATATATACACAAGGGGCTGTGAAAAAATTACCCATAACTTTAAGAAATTCTGTTCCAGAGGTTAAAACAAAAGTTTAGAAAGCATTTTAATATCTTATCACCTATAAAGCAGCAACAATATTTAAATTATTAAAGGTGGCAAATCCAACAATACATAATCATAAACAGTCCTTTAAGAAATGTATTTGAAAGTCATTGTTCCATAAAATATTTATATTGTTTAAATTACATGATAGTAACATTTTCTTTTTTTAATTGAACATATTAATTAAAAAACCTCTAAACCACTTCCCCTGAAGCTACTCTTCTTTAGTAAAGGAGACTTTATCCTTGGGTTTATTCAGCATCTTTATATCATCCAACAGTTTTTTGGGTGTTAAAATATGTGTAGAACCTGATAGAAGAAAAGAGAAAAGATAAATTTTCAGAGGCCAGCAATTAAATTGATTTTCCTTGGCTTAATATTTTGTCTTATCCTTCAAATACGCAAAGTGCAATAGCTTTGGGGCAAATTAACAACATTTCTATAGACATCTTCCTGAAATATGCCTATATTGCTCTAGTTCAATTGTTCCTTGTCTCTGAACATGCTCAGTAATCCATCAGAAACACAGCCAATTCCTAGTGTTCTGTCTACTTTGTACCACATTTTTAAAAATTTTTTTAGTTGTAGATGGGCACAATACATCCATTTTGTTTTATTTATTTTTATGTGGTGCTGAGGATCGAACCCAGGGCCCCCACATGTGCAAGGTGGGTGCTCTACCGCTGAGCCACAACCCTAGACCCTGTACCACATATTAAAGAGCAAAACTGAGAATTTTTCTCTATTCTCATAACAGAACCCCAATAGTTGTCATTTAGTAACAGAACGTCTAAGCAATACTGACATATAAATCCTGAACCTCCACAGGTCAGGAGAGTTTACCCATCAGTGGCTTTGACTGAAGTTCTTTTTTTTTTTTTGGTATCAGGGATTGAACCCAAGGACACTTAACCACTGAGCCACATCTCCAGCCCTTTTTACATTTTATTTTGAGACAGGGTTTTGCTAAGTTGCTTAGGGCCTCACAAAGTTTGAGGCTCGCTTTGAACTTGAGATCCTCCTGTCTTAGCAACTTTTAGTTGAGTTGCTGGGATTATAGGCATGCACCATCACACCCAGCTTAACTGAAATTCTTTAAACTGAATTCCTCATAGGCCTTACCTATGTGGCATTAATGTCCACAAAATGTCACATTCATGTCCACAAAAATTTGTTAATATTTCTGAAGTAAACATGTATTTATGTGTCCAAAATTACTTAGTGATCAGAGCAAACAGAATCATAGGATATAATATTTTAAAGGAACAAGGTTATTTCCCCCAAATCAGAATATTTAAAAATAAAATTATAAAGCTGGGCACAGTGGTGCAAGCCTGTAAGACCAGCTACTTCATAAGCACAATGCATTTCAGAATATGTAATTCCTCAGCTACTTCAGGGGCCGAGGCAGGAGGATCACAAATTGAAGTCCAACCTGGGCTACTTAGCAAGACACTGTCTCAAAGTAAAAGAAGTGGGGATGTTGCTCACTGGAGTGCTTGCCCAGCATGCATGAGATGTCTGAGTTCAATCCCCAAGCCTATAAACAAAATAAAATAATCAAAAATATCAAATCATATAAAACACATTTTATGGTTGAAAATTTATTTTTGCATTCATCAATTTAGTCTTTTTTTAAAGAGAGAGAGAGAAAGAGAGAAAGAGAGAGAGACAGAGACTTTTTAATATTTATTTTTTAGTTTTTGGTGGACACAGCATCTTTATTTTATTTTTATGTGGTGCTGAGGATTGAACCCAGTGCCTCGTGCGTGCCAGGCGAGTGCGCTACCACTTGAGCCACATCCCCAGCCCATCAATGTAGTCTTAATTGATGAAAACTGACACAATTTTGCATATTCATTTTTGTATATAGTATTTGTTTTAAAATACAAAAAAAGGGAAACAAAAATCTTACCAATAATAACTTCACAGGATTTATGTGCCTGAGAAACTTCATAAGCACAACGCATTTCAGAATATGTAATTCCTCCAATTACAAAAATAATCAGCTTTGATCCATTTTTTCGGTCCAGTTCTAAATAATTGGTTCTAGGTTTCTGGCGAGCACTTAAAAGTAAAGGAAAAAGTGAACATGTTAAAAACATTTCCAAACCTATACTTTAAAGACTTTTAAAAAGCCCAATTTAATCAAATTCAACTGTGATACCAATTATATTGATTTTTAAAATATTTACTTATTTTTGCAGTACTGGAGCTTGATCCCAGGAGCACTCTAACACTGAGCCACCTATCCAGCCTTTTTAATTTTGGGGACAGGGTCTCACTAAGTTGCCTGGAATGGTTTCAAACTTAAGATTCTCCTGCTTTGGCCTCCTGGGTTGCTGGGATTATAGGCATATATCTTGCCTGACCCAAATATATTAATTTTAAGGAAATGACCTAACTACAGTATGACTAGAGCACCCAGAGTTAGCTAGGATAGTCCTGTCTAGCTTAGCATTTTAACCTTAAAGTAGAACTAACATCCTCCCGTATTTATTTGATACGAAGAAATAATGTACCTGAAAAGTCTGCAGCTTACTGAAATTAAAAAGAAAAACTGGTAACTGGCATTGAAACAGTAAGGTTTTGAAGATATGAAAGGGAAGTGGGGCACATACGGATTTGGAGCTGATATATTCCTGGAATTCAGCAAATATGATGGTAGGAGGCTGGGTTGTAAAGTTAGGCACAGGTTTCTATCCTTATTTTGTTTATTTTTGACTAGCTATTATATTCAGCAAATTTCTAAGCCTCTCTTTAAACCCTGAAATTTGCTTAAGAACTAAATGAAGTATTGTATAGGACACAGGAAGTATATAATCAGGTACTGAGTAAGCAGTGAATAAATAATAACTCTTATTTTGGTCATTTCTTCTCCCAGATTTTTCTAGATCTGCACTGTTCAGTATAGTAGCCACTAACCACAAAGAGATTAATGAAAAATTAAACAGCATAAAAAATTCAGTTCCTCACTCACTCATATCAAGTAACCCAAATCCACTATGGCTAGTGACTATTATGCTAGACAGTGAAACAGAGAACATTCCCAACACTGCAGAAAGTTCTAGTGGATAGGACTGCTCTAGAGTATAAGAACTAATTTTTTTGTTTACATCTTCTACTGGTAAAAATTTTGAGCTTCTACAAAAAATTAAACAAAAAACCAAATAAGCTAATCAATAAATGGGCAAAGGAACTGGAACATGTACTTCACTGAAGAAGAAATATGAATGGTCAACAGTATGTTCAACATCTCTAATAATTAGAGAAATGCAAATTAAAACTACACTGAGATTCCATTTCACCCCAGTTAGAATGGCAATTATCAAGAATACAAGTAATATCAAGAATACAAGAATGTGGGGAAAAAGGTACACTTATACATTGCTGGTAGAACTCCAAGTTGGTGCAACCACTCTGGAAAGCTTGGAATAAAACCATCATTTGACCCAATTATCCCACTCCTCAGTATATACCCAAAGGACTTAAATCAGCATACTACAGTGACACAATCACATCAATATTTATAGCAGCTCAATTCACAATAGCTAAGCTATGAAACCAACCTACATGCCCTTCAACAGATGAATGGATAAAGAAAATGTGGTATATACATGATGTAGTATCATTCAGCCATAAAGAAGAATGACTTTATGACTCTTTGCCACTTAATGGAAACTATTGTGCTAAGTGAAATAAGCAGTCCCATAGGGCACGGTGGCTCGGGAGGCTGAGGCAGGAGGAAAGCAAGTTCAAAGTCAGCCTTAGCAACTTAGTGAGGCCCTAAGCAACTCTGTGAGACCCTGTCTCTAAATAAAACACAAAATAGGGCTGGGGATGTGGCTCAGTGGTTGCCTGCCCTTGGGTGCAATCCCAAAAAATCAAAGGCCAAAGTTCTCTCTGATATGCAGATTCTTACACACAACAAGCGGGAAGGAGGGAAGAATAGATGTTCAGTAGATTAGACAAAGGGGAATGAAGGGAAGAAAGTGGGGATGGGACTAGGAAAGAGAGTAGAATGAATCTGACATAACTTTCCTGTGTTCATATAGGAATACATGACCAGTGAAACTCCACGTCATGTAAAACTACAAGAATGGGATCCTAATTAGACTAAGTTATATTCCACGCATGTATAATATGTCAAAATATACTATCCTGTCATGTATATAAAAAAATTAAAATGAAAAAATGAGCTTCTAATTATACTGTTATATTGTGTACATGTACGAATATGTAACCAAAAAATTCCATTATTATGTACAACTACAATGCACCAATAAAAAATATGGAAAAGAAAAATTCTGAGCTTCTATTTGAAAGGTACATATTTCAAAAATAAACATTTACATACATTTATAAACATTAACTCATAAATTATATGTGTATACTAGTATATATTAACAAAAAGCTTAATTTCTCCTTTTGGAGGTAGCCTAGCATGCATGGGGCGCTGGGTTCAATCCTCAACACCACATAAAAAAAAAAATAAATATATTGTTTCCACCTAAAACTAAAAAATAAATATTTAAAAAAATATATATATAAATATAAATAACCAATAGACCACTTTGGGGGTCACTGTTCCAGATGACCTGTAAGGCCCTGGAATATGGGATCCCACAGTAAACTTTTAATAATGTTTTTTGCCTAGCCTTTGGCAAGAATGATGGTAGTAAATTAAGGGAAAAAAATCGGTAGTTGGATTTGAAAAATGAAAATTGGAACAAGACACACTCTTAGCTCTCAACACACAATAAGGCTGACTTAAGAAATTTTTCAAGGGAGAGGAATAGTTAAGAAAGCAAAAGAAAAGAAGATAATACTGCTCACAATAATTATGTGACAAGTATATTTGAAAAATTAATAAGAACTTCTAAAACAAAAAAATAAACTGTAGAGATGGTTTAAATAGATTAGGCACAAATTTAAGAGATAACTAAAGACCTGAAAACTAAATTTGAAAGAAAACTAAATTCAAAGAACAATTTCCAGAATGAAACACAGAAATAAATTAAGAGATATTTAGATAGAATGAGGAGTTCAAACAAAACCAAGACTAAAGAAATGGCAATACTGGAAGCATTTATGAAAGATGTGAATCCCCAAATTCAGGAAAACAAATATAAGGAAAGAAAAATAAATCTTTAGATAGACTTAGTATAGGGCACGTATAGGATACCAAAGACAAAAAACAATCAGGAAAAGGCAAATTACCCACAATAGTGTAACAAGGCTGAGAGAAAACACACCCTCCTTCACAACTATCTCAAGACCTAAAACAGCAAAATATTATCTACAAGTGTTGGGTAAACAGAACTGTGCACCTAAATATTCATAGCCATCTAAGGCTGCCATGTAAGAACAAGGCCAAATGAAAATATTTCCAGACAAATAAAACCATGAATACTCTACCACTAACAGACCTCCACTGAAACAACTAACAGGAAATAGTTTGGAAAGAAGACAACTGAGGATGCAAGAAAGCACTGAGCAAGTAACTGGTTAACATTCAAATAGAACTGAATAAAAAATAATGCTGGGCATTTATATGAGGGGTAAAAAAGATATAAGGTAAACTTAAACAAAGTATATGAGCTAGGCACCTACAATCCCAGCTACTTATAAGGCTAAGGCAAGAGAATTATTAGTTTAAGGACAGCTTGTCTCTGTCTTAAAAAATAAAAACGGCTGGTGATGAGTGGCGAAGAACTCCTGGGTTCAATCCTTAGTACTGGAGGAAAAAAAAATGTATATAACATTTAAGGGTATGTGGTTTGCATTAAATTGTTTTAAGGTTCTTTTATTGTTCAAGGGGAGAGTAGAAACACTAATTTCAGACTTTGTTGATCAGTTCAGTGGTAAAGCACCTCTGGATTCAATTCCCAGTATCCTCCCCCACTTAAAAAAAAAAAAAAAAGCTGAGAGCAGTGGTGCACACTTGTAATCCTAGCAACTCAGGAGGCTGAGGAAGGAGGATGTAAATTCAAGGACAGCCTGGGCAAATTAGCAAGACTCTTGTCTCAAAAAATAAAAAGAACTGGGTATGTAACTCAGTGGTAGAGCACCCCCTGGTTCAATCCCAGTACTAAAAAACAAAACAAAACAAAAAACCCAAATAAAAAGAACAAAATGTAGAAAGGACTTGCAGTCATGGTGAAACAAAGTGGGCAGGAGATTTCCCTGTGAGAAAACAAGTATATAAACCTAGATGACATTGTGTATGTGTGTGGGGAACCCAAACATTTCAGGTCAACTGGAAATTGTTGACAGGCAGACAACAAACTGAGAAGCATTTATTCTTGAATATATCCTAAATTACCAGGTAAAGAAGGTGGTAGTCATTATGAATGGTCTTCTAGCCCAGGACTGCAACCTACTTCTATTGCTCTGCCTTCTCAGATAAGAAAAAATACAGCTTTACTGATTTAAAACTGCCTGTGAAAACCAGTAATGTGGGGTGGTAGTAGCAGGAGTACAAAATCCTGGACTGGGCTTACCTAGCACACGTGAGGCACTGGGTTAGGACCCTCAGCACCACATAAAAATAAATAAATAAAAAAGGTATCATGTCCATCTACAACTGAAAAAAACAAACAAAAACAACAATAAAAAACAAACAAAAAAACAAAAACAAAGTACACAAAACCCTGTAGCTTTGATAATTTAAACTGGCAGAACTGTTTCAGAGGAAGAAGACCTACAGCTTTGGTAGCCTAATACTGTAGTCTCAATTTGAGCTTGGCAGCAAATCAGTCAGAAATTTAATATGTAAACCTTGAAAATCTTGAAAATGAGAAATCTAAGGAAGGCAACGATAAAGCTCTCTAGACATCATTAACTGACTGCTAAAACTCTGCATGCAAGAGAATCCTGAGAACACTTAGGGAAAAAAGTGAGATGGAAAAAAAAAAGTGGGGACTGAAGAACTGGCTATATGGAATGTATTCCTTAATGCACCCTTAGCTTGATTAGCAGAGGATGGAGACTGTACATGCTTAAAGTGCTCAAGCACAACTTCTGCACAGATAAATTGCTGACCTCTAAATCACACAGAACTAACCATTAAGAGCCAAGCTAAAGGGTTAAAAAATGCAGCAATGATATCAGTGGCTATATAAACAAAAGAGAAAGAGTCCATAGTTTAAGTCTACACAAATTACAACAAAAAGCAACTCAGAGTTGCTTCAATATATTATCTATAAGGTCCAATTTTCAACCAAAAATTTGTAGCTATGCAAAAAAATAGGGAAGTGTGGTTCATGTTTTGGGGAAAGAAGTCAACAGAAACTGACTATAAGTAGACCCATATGTTGGATCTAGCAAAGACTTCAAAGCAGTTATTACAAAAATGCAAAAAAAAAAAAAAAAAAAATCACTAACCAATAGGGTTTTTCAACAGAAATGGAACTAGGATTTGAAGTGAAGCTCAGTGGTAGAGTACTTGCCTAACATTAGTGAGGCCCTGGGTTTGATTCCCCAGCATTCCAAATAAGAAGGGGAAAAAGAAAGAGATGAAAATAAAAAAGAACCAAATGTGAAAAGTATGTTAAGTGCAATGAAAAAATCAGCAGATGGTCTCAAAAGCAGATTTGACATATCCGAAAAATCTGTGAACCTAAATATAGACAAGTAGGTATTACATATCACAAGAATAGCAACAACAAAAAAAGAAAAAAGAAAGAAAGAAAAAGAAAAGAAAACAGAGTTTCTGTGATCCTAGGGGCAGTGTCAAGTCCTCCAATGTTTTGCATAATAAGAGTTTTATCATCATAAGAGACAATCAAAAATATGTTATGTATAACTGTAATGCACTAATAAAAAACATTTTAAAAAATCTAAAAAACAATTAACTTGCAAATCCAAGAAACTCAACAAACTGCAGGTAGAATAAACACAAAGAACTGTACCTAGACACAAAATAATTAAACTGCTGAAAGCCAAAGATTAAAAAAAAAAAATTATTGTAAAACATAACTCAAAATATTGTTTAGGATACAAATATAGATAGGAAAAGCATAAAGACAGATTAAAAACACAAAATTAAGGATAGGGAAGAAAGGAAAAATAATAAAAGTAGAGAGTAATATATAGGAAGTGTGAATTATATTTATAATGATTTATTTGTTAAGCTGGGTACTTGAGTATAAGGGAATACATTATAATATTTTCTATATCTTTCTGAATGTTTCAAATATTCCATCATAAAAATTGTCAAAAAGGCCTCTGCTATTTGAAAAGAAAGGTGGGGGACTTTTTATTTATTAAATAAATGAAATATTTATTAAAATATTTTTAAAAATAAACTATGTTTTCATATTGCTTACCTGAACTCATTTAAAATAGGTTACAGCTAAAGAAAAACTACCTCTGATGTGACTATATGCTTCAAAGAGAGTTGCCAAATACGAGAGTACCTATTTACTACTTTCAATTATTAGTCTGTAGCATCACACTGAAAATTTCACTGACTTTCATTTATAAGTTTTACCTTACAGCTCCAGAGCCGTTCCAAACTGCTGGACACTGAGAACAATACGGCCACTCCTTTGAATCTAATCTATTATCAATGGCATCCTAGAGAAGAAAAGAGTTAACACCATTAAAAAGATATTTTAAGTTGAAGATTTCTGTTTGTTTTGAGTGAAGGACAAAATTTGTATTTATAATAAATAAACATTAAGAACATAAACAGATAACAAAACATTAAGAATATAAACAGATAACAAGATTAGTTCTTTCTTTTTTTTAATATTTTTTAGTTGTTGATGAACCTTTATTTTTATTTACTTGTATGCGGTGCTGAGAATCAAACCCAGTGCCTCACACATGCTAAGCAAGCGCACTACCGCTGAGCCACTACCCCATCCCCAAGATTGGTCCTTTCTGAAACTCAGTTGCTTCAAAAACTAACACTATCATTTACTTACTTATTCAACTACTATTTATTGCAGACCTATCTTTCTTCATTAGGAAGGTCCCTGCATTGGCACAAGGACCTTTTTTAACTACAGAGTGCTAGGGGTTCTAAATACTATCCCAGTTCTGACATACCTTCAAGACTTTGTCATTAACAGCAATGACTCTAAAGTAGGTTGCACACACCCGGCTTAGAGATACTCAAAACAATCCAATGTCATGAAGAAAGTTTTTCTTTTCACTTTATTTGCTAGAATTTTCCCTTTGTTCAGTGGTGCATTTTACGATATACTTAAGTATAATGAATATATTTTATACAGAGATTATATATGCTTTATTAGTATGTTAATCTATCACTTATAAAAAGATTCATGTTCACATTTTTTATAATTAGGTCTATATGATCAAAATTTTGGAGCTGGGTATAGTGGTGCATGCTTATAATCCCAGTGACTCGGGAGGCTAAGGAAGGAGGATTCCAAGTTCAAGGCAGGCTCAACAACTTAGCAGGCTTTCAGCAATTTACCAAGACTCTGTCTCAAAATAAAAATTAAAAAGGGCTAGGGATGTAGCTCAGTGGTTAAGCACCCCTGGGTTCATCCTCTGGTAAAAAAAATAATAATAAATTTTTTGGACATCACTGTATTACAAACAATACAAATGGTACAGACAAGCAGGCACAAGAAGTGAGCACAAAGTAGTCAAGACTATTTCAATAAGATCATAAGAGAGGAAGAAATTGTGTTTCAGGAGAAATCCTACAAGCCCAAGATTGTCACTGATTTAATAAGCAAATTACTGTTAAAGTGATTTTTAAATATTTATTTTTAAAATACTAGCTTAAGATAAATCACTTAGTTTTCTGTAATTGCTGAAGGGGAAAAAAGTTACATTGCAGAAAACTAAGTTCTTTAGATTTTTCATGTATGTTTACACATGTATCAATTAATCTAGCAAAACAAAAAAAAAATCATAGTAATATGTACCAAATTAGCACTCAGAGGAAAGTATAAATTGAAGTTTAAGTCAAAGGAAAGCTGGAATAAATTACTATTTTATTGAGCTCATAAGGTAATTTTTTTTTAAATACCTACTGTGTTCACTTCGTAATTCTCTGCTTTGCATAGAGCTTTTTTTTTTTTTTTAATGAACACAACACAATGCCTTTATTTTTATGTGGTGCTGAGGATTGAACCCGGGTCCCACCCATGCTAGGGGAGCACTCTACCCCTGAACCACAATCCCAGCCCCCTCATAAGGTAATTTTTAAATTAGTTCATTTTACAATTTCCTATAATTGAATACTATTTTCTAGGAAAAAAACAGTTCTAAATGCATTATTCATATGTTAGATCTAATAGCAACTATATGAAGTTTATATTTTAATCACTAATATACTACTAAGAGTACTGGCATTTAATGGTTTCTAACAGTGGTATATATGTGAATGTTGTTCTGTTGAATTTTCATTCACATAATTCCACTTACTACCTATAGTTATTTAAAACAATGGTATTGCTTTTCATAAAACAGATGTGTGCTTATTTTTATTTACTTATTTATTTTGAGACATACAGTGGTGTGTTTTTCTTAGTTAAGAATCTTCAAGATCATCCTCTCCTCCTTTGACCCAGATGTAGCCTATTTTGGTGAATCCACCAAGCATTGCAGAAAATTCCTGCCCCATTAGACATACTCCAATGACAGCTAAACATAAAAAGAGTTCAAGAGTGCTCTACAGAAGGCATTCAGAAGTAAGTAGAAACTTAATGATATTTACCTCCATAATATCTTTAATAAAAGGTGTCCATCGAGAAAGTTGAAAAGTTTCTTCTGCAGACCGATCCTTTCTTAATGGTTTGCCTTGTTGAGACTAATATCAATAGAGGAAAAAAAAAATTAAAAACCAGTAATTTGGGGCTGGTGTTGTGGCTCAGTGGTAGTCACTCACATGTGTGAGTCACTAGGTTCAATTCTCAGCACCGCATATAAATAAATGAATAAAATAAATGTCCATCAACACTAAAAAATATTTTTAAAAACCCAGTAATTTTATTCAGTAATATAATAATCTTATGCTTCCTAACAAAGATATTTAATTTATCAGAAAATATTATATTGCATTTGACTTAAAACTAAGAGTGGGCTGGGGATATAGCTCAGTGGTACAGGACTAAACCCTGTATTCAATCCCCAGTAACACAAATGAACAAAAAATCATGAGTGGAAGTACTTCCTTAAAAAAAATGAAGTAGGTATAGTCACATAACTTCACTGAACAATATTTGAGCTGTGCAGGGAGGAAGAGCATGAGAAGAAGATTACCACTAAATAGGGAAGAGAGGTGGGAAGGAATGGGAGGGAGAAGGGGAATTGCATAGAAGATGGAAGGAGACCCTCATCGTTATACAAAATACATGTATGATGATGTGAGGGGGAAGGAAAAAAAAAGAGAGAAATGTGTCACATTAGATTGGGTAGAGAGAGGTGATGCGAGGGGAGGCGAGGGGAAGGGGGGATAGGAAGGGCAGTAGAATAAAATAGACACTAGTATTGCTGTATGTATATACGTGGCCATATAACCAATGTGATTCTGCAACCTGTACACTTGGAAAAATGAGAAATTTATGATTTCAAATGTATGATATGTCAAGATCATTGTATTGTCATGAGCAACTAATAAAAAAAATGTAAAAAAAAATTTGAGCTGTAGTGCTAAAATTTATGAGAGCATAAGGAAATACATTTATTCAAATAAAAGTATCAAAATAATAGGAAAGAATGGGATTCTGGAAAGAATGGGAATCTTTAAAAAAATTTTTGTAGTTGTAAGTGAACACAATACCTTTACTTTATTTATTTATTTTTATGTGGTACTAAGGATTGAACCCAGTACCTCAAATGTGTTAGGTAAGTGCTCTACCACTGAGCTATAACCCCAGCCCAAGAATGGGATTCTAAATAGAAGTTCTTCCAAACTTAACTTTGAGCCTAGATTTTTAAAGCAAGAGAATATAATTATTTTTTGTGCTATATTCCAATTCAAATGTATAACTGAAATGACAATTGCTATAAATGAATCATAAAGAGAAAAGAATAAAGAACAAATTATAACAGAACCCACAGAATACAAATTCACTAGAAAATCGTTATCTGTCCAAATTACTCTCATATGGAAATGACAAGAAATCGGGATTTTTAAGTTTTAATTGCTTAGTCAAAATCTATAGTATGAAATTAAGAAGACTGTCTATATGAATTCCCACATTTAAAAAAAACCCAACATGATTAACTCAAAAACTCCACACATACATATATGTAAGAATATATATATATATATATACACACACACACAATGTAAGATTTCTTACTTGGGGAACAATGGGAACACCAAGGTAACTCCAGTTACGAATCATGTCACTCTCATTTTCTATCTTTACATTCTGGATCAACCTGTCCAAATTTTCTTCCGTAGTTCCTTAGATACGTTAAAAAAATATTAGTGTGTACTCAATTTACATAATTGCTACTGCAATCAATTCTAGGTTACATATACCACAAATAAAGCTTTTGAAAAACCAAACAGTCCAAAAAAAAAAACACAAAACAAAAAAAATCAAACAGTCCATTTATGTCCCCTTCAGTCTTCTAATTCCTATTTTCCCTTGTATTTATCTTAACCAACTTAAGCCACTACCTTTGAGTTTCCAAAGATTCTCTTATGATTAGTAGAAAACTATTTATTAAAAAATCATTGTAGAACTGGGTACTTTAATGTGTTAATGAAAATAAACAAAATATCAATTACCATTAGTACTGAAGATATAAAGTAGGATTGCTCTTATTTTATCACAATTATCATGATTTTTGTTGAGTAGAACTGGAAGAAGTACTCTCATAGCATCTTTCACCTTCTGTCCTTCTGCATCAGTTCCAAGTGCCAGGTCCTTAATGAAAATAAAAGTCAGTGGTCTTGAGCTGGGGATGTGGCTCAGCAGTAGAACACTCGCCTAGCACGTGCAAGGCCCTGAGTTCAATCCTCAGCACCACATAAAAATAAATAAAATAAAGGTATTGTGTCCTACTACAACTAAAAAAATATATATACCAAATTCATTTTTTATTTAAAAATACCTATTATGAAGTCATCAAATTTTAACAAAACACACATTTCTTTCTTTTTTTAACTTTATTTTTATTTGTTTATTTTATGTGGTGCTGAGGATCAAACCCAGGGCCTCACAAGTACAAGGCAAGTACTCTACCACTGAGCTACAACCCCAGCCCCCAGAACACACATTTCACAGGAAAATGTGCACATCATTTGTAAACTATTGTTGTACAAAACGCAAAAGGTCAAAAAGTAAATCAGAGAAGAAAATCATTAATCTAAACCTATGCTATCCAATATGGTAGCCACCAGCCACACGTGGCTAGTAAGCACTTGAAATGTAGTCAATCTGAATTAAGATATGCTCTGGGAGTAAAATACCAGATTTTGAATAATTGGTGTGAAAAAAGTAAAATATTTCATTAATAATTTTATGTTTATAAGTTGAAATATTTTGGGTATATCAGGTTATGTGAAACATATTTTTTAAATATATTTATTTTTTAGTTGTAGGTGGACATAATATCTTTATTTCATTTTTATGTGGTGCTGAGCATCGAACCCAGTGCCTCACGTATGCTAGGTGAGCACTCTACCACTAAGCCATAACCCCTGCCCCAAGTCAAACATATTGTGAAAATTAATTGTACTTTCTTTTTCCCTTTTTAATGTGGCTACTAGAATAGTTAATATTATATACAACTTGCATTCTGTTTCTGTGAAGAGTACAATGATCTAATTGGTTGAAACATTATACATAAAGCTTCTTAAAACAAATATAATGTGCCTATGCAGTTCTCTGCAGGGTGTTATATTTAATCCTGTACTCAAATAATGCTCCCCAAACCTAAATCACTCCATTCAACCAAAATACATAATCATAGATTAGAAAGGACTGTTTACTAAGATACCTCCACCAACATGGCACTATTGGGAGGTAGTAGAAATTTTAAGAAGTGGGGCCTCCTGGGAGATCTTTAGGTCACTGGGGGGGTATGCCCTTGAAAAGGATAGTAGAACTCATACCCGTTCTCTCTTCCTCTTTGATTTCTGGCTGCAATACAAGCAGTTTCGCTCTGACATGTACTGATGCCATGTGCTGCCTCACCATAGGACTAAAAAGAAACAAGGCCAACTGATCATGTACTGAAACCTACAAAACTGAGTTTTGAGGGGCTAGGGTTGTGGCTCAGTGGTAGAGCGCTTGCCTTGCATGTGTGAGGCACTGGGTTTGCTCTCTAGCATCACATAAAAAAAAAACTAAATAAACAGGACTGGGGTCTTGGCTCAGCAGTAGGGCTTCGCCTAGCATGTGTGAAGTCCTGGGTTTGATCCTCAGCACCACATAAAAATAAATAAAATAAAGGTACTGTATCCAACTACAACTAAAAAATAAATATTTAAAAACCCCAAATAAACAAAATAAAGGTATGTGTCCATTTACAACTAAAATATTTTTAAAAAACTGAGTTTTGATCAACAAACCAAAACTGAAGCAAAATAACCTTTTTCTCCTTATAAGGTGATTGTCTCAGGTATTTCTTACAGGAACAGCAAGTTGACTAACACTATTGGGAAATGATTTATATGTATTAACATGCTTGTCTAAGTTGGTCTCCTTCTAAGAGTCTGTGATTTTGAGAAAATCAACCATTGTATTCAGCAAAGTATTACATTTTAACTTACAAAGTTCATTATGGAAATCTATAAACATAAGTATTTCTGACTTTGCTCATACCTGTTCAGTTTTACAGAGCTTTTCTATATTAAGCTTGAACTTATTCATGCAATCTTCTGCTAAATTAAGATGAACAACTTGCTGAAAAACAGAAGAAATCAATCATTTAAAGCATTTTAATTATTTTTATGCAAATGATAATATTAAAAGAACAATGGAGAAAACCATTGTGAAAGAAGGTAAACTACAAGTAAGGGAAACAGCTCAAGAAAGGAAGTGAAAATTGATGTGATCAATGGGAACAAGCAGGCTATGGTGGCACGCTGGCACATGCTACAAGTGCTGCATGTGAACTTCTGCTGCAATGTGCAAGCAGTGTGTCACCTGTGTACTTTCTGTATACCGCCTGCCAGCACCTGGCCTTGTGTGCAAAGCACATTGAGGCCAGGATCCCCAACCAGCCCCAGTGCCTGCCAGTGCCTGTGAGGTCCACTATGGCTCAGGGAGGTAAAGCACCTTGCCATCAGACTGTTTTGGCTTCAAGCCAAACACCTCCACCTCACGGCCCACTGCCACCACATCTTCTTAGCCTCAGTTTCCCTGTCTGCACAATGGGGATAATGTTCGCCTAGCTACCTCATATTATGATTTTACACAGAAGATGAAGGCAAGATTAATAACTAGATGTCTGGGGGAATAAAGGGAGATAATCAACAAAAACCAGAATGGAAGTGCTGAATTTGTGATGAATTTGAGAATAAAAATAAGGTGACAAAAAAATACAGTGAGGGGCTAGGGCTGTAGCTCAGTGGCTAAGCACTTGCCTTGCATGTGTGAGGCACTGGGTTCGATCCTCAGCACCACATAAAAAAAATAAATAAAAAGATATTGTGTCCATTTACAACAAAAACAAAAACAAAAACAAAACCCCCCAAAACAGTGAGCCCCTAAAGACCAACAGAAAAGGTTTCATTGGTTCTGACTGGAGTACAACATGATAAAAGTATATAAAAGTTATTCTGACAGTGATATGGAAAAAGACCTGGAATAACAGAGGAAAACAAAGTTTACCAGAGCCCCCTGCCCCCACCAGCTTAAAACCTCCTTAATCTATTAATATATAACTACTAATATAAAGTAACATGTAGAATGACAACCACTGGTCAATATACTGCTGAATTCCTATGAGATTGATAAATACTAAAATTATTCTGCTTAGCAGTTCAAGATAAAGACAAAAAAGTCTATGCTGGATTTGAATAAATCTAAATGACATATGTAGAAATGTTATTGGAAAGCTTAGATATTGGGATATTTCAATCTTAAGAGTTTTAGAGGACAATGCACAAAAAATATTCCATGAAAGTCACTGCTAATCTTAACTACAGGACTGGCTAGATCAAATAACTAATAACAATACAATACCTTACAGACAATATTGCTTACCTTGGTAATCTGTTTACGGAAATGGGGCATCTTTTTCATCAGCTGGGTAAGGGCACTAAGTGATGTCTAAGAAAAATAAAAATATTTTGAGTAAACCTATGATTAATTTACTCTATGCTACAACTTTTAAATTCTGAAGTATTAGTTAAGCTACTAAATTTAGTTAATTTACTAAACATTTGGCAAAATTTTATTTATTCATTTATATTTGGGTACTGAGGATAACACAAGGGTGCTTTACCACTGAGTCACATCCCCAGCCTTTCTTATTTTTGACACAGGGCCTCACTAAGTTGCTTAGGGTCCTGCTAAGTTGCTGAGGCTGGCCTTGAACTTGCCATCCTCCTGCCTCAGCTTCCCAAGTTGCTGGGATTCCAGGCATGCACCACCATATCTGGCTACATTTGGCAAATTTTTAAAAGAAAACTTTATGAAGCTTTTAATTTTAGTCAAGACAAAATAGATGATATCAAAATTACTCTCCCCCTACAAACAAAATTGAATGGACAAATAAATAAAACAAGAATTTTTAGGCAACGGATAAAAAACAGTTATGAGTGAAGGAAAGTACAGAAGGTGATTCTTGCATTCACCCTGACTTCTCCCTGGAGATGTTTTCCAAACCACACTGAAAGTAAAGTCTGAGAAGAAGAAAACAATTATCTCTCTGGGAAAAGAAAAAAAAAAAAAAAGATTAGTGTTTGAAACTGCTAAGGTAGGATTTGGGGAGCAGGGTGCCAGAGAGAAAGGAACCAGGTAGAATATAACCCAAAATGTATAGCATGGTGTCCTTGGGCCCCTAATCTGCACACATACAGGGCAGAACTCTCAGAGGCCTAGTGGACAACTATTGGGTTAATTACTACACAGAGATTGAAGGGGTTTTAGTGCTAAGAAAATATTAACATTCTCAGATTCAAAGTAGAGACCTAATTGAACACCCTAAACATTTAGTCCTAGGACTATGACCTAGGACTTAAGTGCAAACGTGAAATATGCTCATCATAAACACCACCTAACATGAAGTCTCAACATAGTCAAGGTTATTCTTTAGCAATTTAACTACTTGCCAGATGAAACTTAACACTTAATGCAGAGAGAACGTTATCTGGAGTCTCTGCAATGTATAATACACTATGTCTAACACACAATTAAAAATTAGTAAGTAGAACAGGAAAGAGGTCAATATCCAAGTGATAAAATAGTCAATAAGTTTCTAAGAATCATGCCTGCAAATCAGGATTCCTAATCCAGAAACATTAGCCTTATGAGAGGCTGAAGGCATCATCAAATGTAACTGGAAGTGAAGGGAAAAAAAAAAGAGAGAGAGAGAGAGATAAGTGTCACAGTAGAATGGGTAGAGAAAAGGGATGGGAGGGGAGGGGAGGGGAGGAGAGGATAGGGAGGGCAGCAGAATACAACTGACTCTAGGATTGTTGATGTATAACCAATGTGATCCTGCAATCTGTACACATGGAAAAATGAGAATTCATACCCTATTTGAATCAAATGTATGATATGTCAAGATCGCTGTATTGTCTTGAACAACTAATAAAAAAAAGTAACTGGAGGTGTATTAAGAATTGTAATGCAAAAAATAATAATAATAATTTAAAAAAAGAAAAAAGAAAAGTAACTGGAATGAAGACTGCTGACAACTTTGATGACATAAATCTCTCAAGAGTCCCTCATTCATGGCATCTATACCAATGGCCTTGAAAAGTTCTCTGAAATGCAATAGCAAGTAATTATTCCTCGTATTAAGAGTTTTACCATGATGTTTAACATGAACGTTCAAACTCATTCTGGAAAAATGACAACATTTACCATCTTGATTCTGTAACAGACTGAATTAGATCTAAAGGCTACACAGGCCTTGGTACTGGAATCCACTCAAGAATTGGATGAGAAAACTCAGGTGGCTATACCTCTGATCACATCCTTATTGGAGGAATCAATATATGTATTGAGGTGCAGAAGCTACAGATGGAAGGTGACCATATCATTATGGGTACCCCTGACTATGTGATATGCTATTATAATCATAGATACCTGGCTCCCCAATATTAATATGTTTATATTGGATGAAGCTGTTGAAATGTTAAAAGCTATAGATTCAAGGAGCAGATTTATGACAAATTCCCAAAGCTCAACAGCAATACCTAAGTAATTTTGGGGTGTCCAGCTATAATGCCTTCTGAGGTACTTGGGGTAACCAAGAAGTTCATGAGAGACCCCATTCCCGATTCCTGTCGAAAGGAAAAGTTTATCCTGGAGGGTGTCTGCCAATTCTCCATCAACACAGAATGAGAGAAGTGGAAGCTGAACACACTCTGTGACTTTATGAAACTGACTATCACCCAGGCAGGCATCTTCATCAACACCTGAACGAAGGTTGATTGCTCACTAAGAAGATACATGCCCAAAACTTCACTGTCTCTGCCATGAATGGAGATAAAGACCAAGAATGAGATGTGATCATGAGGGATTTCCATTCAGGCTCTAGAAGAATACTGGTTACCAGTGACATGCTGGCCAGAGAAGCTGACATGCAACAGTTTTCTTTAGTCATCAACTATGACTTTCCCACCAACAGGAAAAACTACAGACACAGAATTGGTTTTGCTATAAGATTTTGGCAGTAAGGATGTGGCTATTAACAACAAGAGGACTCTTTGGGACATCATGACCTTTTAAGATACCTCTGTTGAGAAGATGCATCTGAGTGTTGCTGATGACCTCACATGTGAGGGCTGCCCTACCACATAGCCTCAGCCAGCATTCAATCCTGGAAGGGGGAATGGAAAGAAACCAAGGGATGGATATTTTGTAATTTTTTTTCTTGGAATAAATGTCATAATTTGAGGCTAAAGAATGAACTGTGAACATTTCAGACAACCTTTTCTTTGGGGTAAACTCTTGCCCCAGGTGCTGTCTCTCCCCCACAGACACTATACCATTTCCTTAACCTAGTCATCCTGAGATTCCAGAGGCTTTCCCCACTCCAGCAGAATTCCTTGGAAATGACTCAAATCTGCAGGGAGAATCCCTAAGTGAGGTTGCTCAGTGGACTGTCTCTTGGGAGGAGAAGGAGGGAGGAAGCAGAAAGGAGGGAGGTAAGATTGAGAGAGGAAAAATGGTAGCTATTTTAATATTATTTTGGATAGCATTTACTATTTCAAGAAACAATCATCAAATTCACAATAAAATGACTTGGAAACTACCACACAATCAAAAGTAGTCCCAAGAAGATCTAGACATTGGAGTTAGCGAAGATTTAAAAGTAACATGTTAATACTGAAGAAAGCAAAAGAAAAGATGGACTACATAGATCCAAAAATGGAATATTTCAACAGAGAATTAGAATTTATTTCTTAAAAATTCAATGAATATCCTAAAACTAATTATAAGACTTTAAATCGAAAACAATGAATGACAGTCATACCATGCTGGTTGGACTCCAAAATGGTACCCCATCTTTGGAAAACACCTTGGAAGTTTCTTATGAATCTCAGTATATGTATACCGTATGACAAAGCAACCCTACTCCTAAGTATTTCCCTAAGAGGATGAAAATATCTGTTCATAGATGTGAATGTCCACTGTGGGAAAAAAACAATGTTTAAAGCAGTTTTATTCATGAATTCCAAAAACTCAGGGGAAAAAAACTCAAATACTCTAAAACTGGTAATAAACATCCATGCAAATAGAATACTAATCAGGAATAAAAAGTAATAGACTCTCCTATACATGTAACATAGATAAATATTAAGTACATTATACTAAATGAAAAAAATCATAGTAGGTTATTTCAGTTATATGACAACCTGGGAATGGTAAAATTACAGAGATAAGAAACAGATCAGTGGTTGCCAGGGGATGGGGGAAGTAGAGTTCAAAGACTGTCTACAAAGGGCATGAGGGAATTCTGGGGGGTGATGGAGCTATTCTAGTATCTTGACTGTGGTGGAAGTTACATGAGAGTATGCATTTGTCAAAACTGTATACTATAAGGATAAATTTTATATTATTTGGGTTTATTAATAGCAGACTGGACATGAGAAGACAGAAGTAGGGAATTATTGAGGTTAACAAAAAAATAGATTAACAGACAATATTCAATCACACAGGATGTGGTACTGGGAATAGAGTGCAGAGGGAAAGTGTATGCTTAGCTATAGAAGGTCCAGAATTCAAACCTCAGTGCCATAGAACAAATCAAGATGTGAGAAACTAATGGCCATGAATTTTACAAATATGAGTAAAGTTGTCAACCCAGTAATTACAGAAACTCAGCAAACCCCAGGGAGGATAAATGCCAAGAAAACTGTACATAGAAAGAAAGGCATTATCATGGTCAAACTGCTAATAATCAAAGAAAATATTACTAAAGGCACTCAGAGAAAAAATGATACATGACAGCTGGCTTCTTTAACAGAAATTACGTTAGTTAGAAAGTAATATACTGAAATCTTTAAATTGATAAAAAGAGGGAAGGGGGACAAACTTCCCAACTATAAATTCTAAATCCAGCAAAAGTATGTGAAAAACTTACAAAACAAAGATGTCCTTAGACAAAAAGAATGTTGAGAGAATTTAACCCAGCCCAGAAGAAGAAAAAACTAGAGAGCAATAGAGAATAAACAACACAAGTCTAGATACATATGTGGGCAATATAAGTCCACTGAGTGTTTAAAACAAATACACACTGAAGTAAAACACATGAAACAAAAGCACAGAAAAGGAAGGAGAAAATGGAGCCAAACTATTATAAGGTTTCTGAATTATGTATGACATGCAAAAAGTGTACTATAAGGTAATACACTTTATAAAATAGCCATACATTAAAAATACATAGTACAATAACTAAAAGAAGTATATTAGCCAGGCATGGTAGTACATGCCTGTAATCCCAGCGTTTCAGGAGGCTGAGGCAGGAAGATCACAAGTTCAATGCCAGCCTCAGCAATTTAGTGAGAGACCCTGTCTCAAAATAAAAAGGGACAGGATCTGGCTTGGTGGTTATGTGTCCCTAGATTCAACCCCCAGTACAAAAACAAAAATAA